ATCCTCCATTAAAAATCAAAATGCAGATGCGTTGTCACCCGTGAGGACTGAGATGGAATGCCTCGTTTCCAGTAAAAAGAGTCTCCGGTTCTCTACACTCACCATACGAAATACAGTACACATTTTTTGAATTTAACGCCGTTAAAGTATTTACCCGCTACAAATATAGACGAAGATAAACTCCGTGTTCTTTTACGTCATAACTTATTAGACAGGCTAGTGCAGTATTTTTGGAAGCGATAGAGAACGGAATATCTGCATACGTTGTAGTCTTGGCAGAAATGTAACACGGCAAATAAACCACGATCGGAATTGTAGTTATTCTCAATATAGAGATCGCGCTGCTTCTTCATTGGCCATTAGGAATCAATGAAAAAGTTTTTTCTAGATCCGACGGAGTAACGAGGATAGCTCGTGTTAAGACCGCGACCGGATCATATATAAATCCTGTTGTTCGTTTCTGTCCTTTACCTAACCAACAGTTTTCGAAATGTATTTTTAGGTTAGGTAGTAATTAAAGTTAGGTTTTAGTATTGACTTTGTTTAGTTTAAAGGGAACCCTTCGAGCCGGGGGTAATAGTTGTGCGGAAAACGAATACCCTTGAATTTTTTGTTAAGTTAGCTAGAAATTAGCCGGTACATTCTCCCATCCTATCTGCTTCTTTTCTGCATGCACCGAGGAGGGGAGCGCGAGGCTTAGATGTGTGGTGTCATTTCTGCATCCAATAAAAAGGCGCCACTTAGATGGAAGTGGAGACGGCCGAGGAGAATAAGGATATGCGCTGCCGTCACTCGTCAAGTTGTAACGCAGTGTTACCAGCCTCAAGGCCTGAGACGAAGGCAGTCAGAATACCCACCTCGGTTAGTGCTCCCCTATAGTTATCGAGCTACGGCAGCTTTTTTGTTTGGGTTATAGCCAACCACGCTGAAGACGGTCCGCTTTAGTTACATCTCGCATCTAATAATTTGTGACCATCCTTTCCCATATTAGAACCTAGGAATACTACCGCTCCACAGGGAACTAATTGATTGATTAATGCTTAAAATATCATACAATTTTCGTACCGCTTCACTTTCGAATATTTTTTTAACACACACGCGATCCTACGCAAATGAACACACACACACACACACACACACACACACACATACATACACACACACACACACATACACACACACACATACACACACACACACACACACACACACACACACACACACACACACACACACACACAATCTTAATCTCATGGTTATTAGACGGGAGATGAGGTTGCAATCGTCAACAGATTTGATAGAATATAGGCAACTGAACAGACAGATCTCCAAGTGCATGCGGCGAGACTTACGCAACTTAAATACTGCTCGTATTAAAGAAGCGATCGAGCGGAACCAGGGCTCCAAAGTCTTTGCCAGAGATCAGTCTGCCAGTAAGAGCCAACCATCAAAGCTGAAAACTGAGTGTGGCAGCATCGTTTCCGGGACACCTGAGATTCTGAGTAAGATTGAGAGGTTCTATGGGCAGCTGTACACATCATCATTGGAGCCACATGCAAGTGTGAGTAACGATCCAAGAGCAAGTCTTATCCGACACTATTCCGATGATATTCCGGACGTAAGTCTGAGCGAGATTAGAATGGCTCTCCAGCACCTTAAAAGCGGCAAGTCCCCGGGCGAGGATGGAATTAGAGCGCGGCTTCTGAAAGCGGGTGGAAAACTGGTAATTGAAGTCCTTCAGAAGCTCTTTAATTCCGTCCTCCATGGAGGTATAACTCGCGAGGCGTGGAGCACAAGTGGTGGTCTTGTTATTCAAGAAAGGTGACAACGCCCTCTTGAAGAACTACAGACCGATATCCCTTCTGAGCCGCGTCTACGTGTTATTTTCGAGAGTTATTACGAACCTTCTCGCACGCAGACTCCACTAATTCCATCCTCCCGAACAAGCCGATTTCCGAAAAGGCTTCAGTACCATAGACCACATATTCTTCGGCAAAATTTACAGAAGTCCGAAGAGTACAATCTGCCACTTTGTCTGGCGTATGTGGACTAAATAAAAATAAATAAATAATAAATAAATTCTCTTTATTTCAGGCAAATATCACCCATATAAATTACCAACAAAAAAAAAAAGACAATGCAGTACAGAATTAATTACAATTAAAAATAATTATATTATAATAATATCTAAGTCTAAATGGAGGGAACCATCACGTCAAGCAGCTATCTTAAGCCATTTTTGATAAAAGGCTGTGGCCGGCAGTCTTTCCGCAAACTCACTAATTGTCCTGTTTCTACATTCTACATGATTGATGCGATTCTGAATCTTTGAATGGCATTAAACGTATTAATTCGTGCTTCGGCAAACATGCCTGAAGCACTGCAATAGCGTTTGAGACCCATAAGCATTCTAAAGATGTTATTATATTGCACACGAATACCATTCAAAGATCGCCCCGCATATTCAGTCCAGAGCTGGCAGGTGTAGAAAGACTGACAGTACGTTTGGAAGAGCATAATCTTAACCTCCTGGCAATCATATTGCCACAGACAGACAAAGCTCTTCTCTGTCGTTCTATATCGCAATCATCTTTTCTGTTCGTTGTCACTATGTGACCGAGGTATTCGAACGTTTGAACTATTTTAACCGGTTGACCCGCCACGTGCACCTCAGGTACATTAGTTGGGCTCTTGCCCGCCTTAAAAATCACCATCTCCGTCTTTTTTGTGTTATAAATTAAACTATGATCTTTATCAAATTTTTCGCATATGGATATTAATTTCCGCATACCTTTGATTGTAGGGCTGAGCAGAACCATATCGTCAGCGTAACTTAGGCTGTTAACATAACGGTTGCCAAGCCTAAGTCCGACTGGGGTTCTGCTCAGCTCCACGATCAAGTCATTCACATAGATGTTAAAGAAGTCGGGTGAGGTAAACCCCCCCTGCCTTACTCCACAAGTCAGCGAGTATTCATCGGACAGAGAGTCACACCATTTTACATATTGATCTGTCTCTTATACCAATAAGTGAGCAGGTCAACAATACCAGCAGGAACGTTATTAGATCTTAGCTTCTTCCATAGCAGATCATGATTCAAGGTGTCGAAAGCGCGACTCAAATCAAGAAAGCAGGCATATACACTAGTATCGCGATCAACATAGTAATTTACTACTTGTTTTAAGGCAAAAATTGCCATATATGTAGATAGCTCTGGTCGAAAACCAAACTGACCATCGTCAATGGACATGTAGGGTGTAATTTTGGCTTGAATCAAACGCTCAAATACCTTGGCCACAACAGTGGCAAGAGATATAGGTCGGTAATTAGCCATGCTTGCGAGATCTCCAGTCTTACACTTCGGAAGCGGCACCACAATGGTACGTAATAGATTATTTGGCAGGTATGAGTGGCGCGTGCATAAGTTAAATAATGCAGAGAGGACTACAAAAATATACTGACCGGCATGCAACAGATGCTCTATACTCAGGTAGTCACATCCCGGAGACTTTCCCCTTTTCATACCACGTAAGACGGATACCACATCCTCCTCTGTAATTAAGCAGTTCTCGAAATTTAGCTGAACATAAGATGTTTCTGTACTCAACAAGGTATGATTCTGAGTAGTTAATTGGGGTGTATCTTGCTCATTTTTCACGTCAACATTAAAATTATTTTTAAAAAAGGTTGGCTATCTTTGTGTGATTCACCTCACCCTGGATACTAATAGGACGACCCGCTTAAGGATTTAATTTCTTCACCTCCTTCCAAAATTGTCCAAATTTTTTCGATTTATTATTTCGGCCAATATATCTAACTTTATATTTTCTTGATGGTTTTGAATTAATTTAAGTGTGGATTTAAATTCCTTACGAGCAGAAGACATTTCATTATAATAATAACCAGAAGATGGTATGCCAACAGCAACCCAGACACTAAACTTTAATCTAGCCTTAACATGTAGACGCCTCACGTGATAGTTCCAACCAGTCACAAATGGCTTTTTATCTTTTATTTGCCTATAACTATTCTCTGCACTAGTCTGTAATATCTTAATAAAATTATTATAAAATTCATTTATTGAAGTACAATGGTCACTATTCTTACAAATTAAATCACAGTTACACATAATATTATTATTTAAAACATTAATTTGTCTTAAAAGATTATTTAAATTAAAATCGCATAAGGTACTATATTTCCGAATTTCCGCCGTGTCTCTATTGCCCCATACTATCTTTGGCTTGTTACTAGTTAAATTAGTCACTTCTATAGGTATAATTGTACTAATAGTCCACTGAACAAGTAACGGAATGTGATCCGACGAGTAGACGTCATATAATACATACACACTACTCACTGCGCTAGCGGCGGCCGCAGTCACTATGCAGTGGTCGAGCCATCGACATGTCCCGTGCCCATCGCTTATAAACGTGCGCGTGTCGGATTCCTTACCTAGAACATCGATGTCAACACAACTTAATGACTGCTCATGACAGTAATTTAATAGTTCGTTTGCGAAAAGTGAACCCGGGTGGGCATTGAAGTCACCTAGAACAAAAACTGATTCTATATCTGCACTTTCTATCACTGCACTAATATTTCCTAAACAGGTTGTAAACTCCGCTAGGTTGTCGTCACTGTTCGTAGGCATATAAACACTTAGAACGAGCACATGCCTATTTCCTTGGCTTAGCTTCACAGCACACATCCTGTTATTATAGCAAGGTATGACCTCCGCACTCGGAAATATTCCCTTATTCCATAGAAGTGCTACACCACCATAAGGTCTTCCGCGGATTAGTCCTTCGGACGTGTCAATGACCGATACTCCACAGGATTCAAATTCTGAGTCTATAGTAATAAGAAAACCTAGATTGTGTGGGAACAACCAGGTTTCCTGGAGTGCCAGCAAGTGGTATTTTTTACACAACTCTCTTATTTGAACAAGAGATCGTTTAACTGATTTACAGTTGAAGGAAATAAATGATATATCGGACTTATCCATATTGTTTATTAGTAATTTTGTTCTCATTCCTTGGTTCTCTTTGTACGGGGCGATACCCACGCTTTCTAAACTTTCTAAAAACAATTCCCGCGGGCCAAAATTGATCCCCCTCATCATTCAAAAAGAGATCAGCCTTATGAAGCGGTACTGTGATTTTAAAGGCATTAAAACTATTTTCGTACGTATTAATTTTAGTAACTACCGTTTCCAGTTGAGTCTTGTACTTAATAAAGCCAGCAATGTCATTCGCCGTACTATCTCTGTGTACTCGTGATATATACATAGATAAGGTTCTTTCTGCTGCTTTGAAATTAAATTCGCTTATTGGATGCGCTTTTCCTTTTCTATTCTCTAGTCTCTTTTGACGTTTACTCGTCACTGTAGTCCAGTTCCCCTCTTTTATCGGTTTTAGTGACAGAACGTGCGAATTGTTTACATTATCATTGTGTTCAGAAACGGTTAATAAATCACAATCAAGCGCAAATTTAGGACCCAAGTCAGAACCGTCCACAACTTTAGCATAACTCGGTTGACTGGACAATTGTTTAGAGTCTGTGCCGCTGGACTGTGGGACTGATTTATTGTTCGCTGCGCCTTGCGATGTCGTAGGTGAGCACGATACCCTCACTGTGGGCTCTGGTGGAAAGGGAGCGGCCGGTGTGGACGCGTGCGAGCTTATCTTGGCTAACAGCGATTTCTGTGCACTTTTATTCTTAACTACCCGCCTTCCGGGAATCTTGTCCTCACAAGATATAGGAGACAAATATGTATCACAGGTTGCAGGGTTAAACCCAATTCTTTTTTCTTGCAGCTCCTTCAATGCAAGCTTAACGTCAGCTAGATATTTTTTGAGTGATTCCAGAGAGGAACTGTAGGGATTGGAGCTTGTGCGCAAAGCTGCGATCTCTTTTTTTAATAACGCCATATCCTTAAGGAACGTTGTCACATCGATGCTATCAAAAGTAACTAACACTAATTAGATCAGAATTATGTAAAACTGGCGGTAACTTATTTAAATCCTTTGCCACAAAAATGTGCAGGCAGTCCGGCTCAAAATCTTTTATTAGCTTTATTATTTCCTGCAGACTATTCTTCTCACTCCCTTCCTTACGCCTAGTAATCCTTTTTTGTGGGGCAAGTAATTTATATACAGTTTGTCTTGCGAACTCGATATCGTCATAGGAGTAGGCACTCAAACATATTTGTATAAGTCCAAGCTCGGCTAATGTGTCAACCTTGTTCGCCACAAAAGCTAGTAATTCATTGATCACCACTTCACAGTCTTTGCACTTAGCTACACTGTTGTCACTTATTACTTTGTCGCGGTCGCGAGAAGCGGGAGGAGAGCGTAACATCGTGTTACGCGCGCGGTGTCCGCGACCGTACTGACCGAACTAAGAGAAAACCTTTGATCCCGTCGAAATTTATGCGGTGCTACAGTCTCTACAGTGGTGCCAAGTTGACTGTCGGTTTATCGAAGTGCTGAAGTGTTTGTACAGTAAGGCTACGATGGCTATCCGAGTACCGAACCTGAGTACGAAACCTATCCAACTGCAGAGAGGTGTAAACTCTTCACCACTTATATTATGACAAAATTGCTGGAGGACTTAAGCACTATGCTCAATGACCTAAATAGTGCCTCTCAACGGATAGGTCTTAAGATGAACATGGACAAAACAAAGATCATGTTTAATGTCCATGTCATACCTATGCCCGTAGTTATTGGGAACACTAAGCTCGAAGTTGTTGACGAGTACGTTTACCTGGGACAAATAGTCCGATTAGGTAAATCGAACTTCGACCACGAGAGGTCAATCGACGGATTCAACTCGGATGGGCAGCGTTCGGGAAATTATGACATATCTTCTCGTCAGTTATACCTCAAAACCTGAAAACTAAAGTGTACAACCAGTGCGTGTTGCCAGTGATGACCTACGGAACCGAGACGTGGTCCTTCTCTGCTAGACATACGAGAACGCTCAAAGTCGCTCAGCGAGCTATGGAGAGAACTATGCTCGGGGTTTTTCTGCGTGATAAACTTAGAAATGAGGATATCCGCAGTAGAACTAGAGTGACCGACATAGCCCAACGGATTAGTAAGCTGAAGTGGCAATGGGTCGACCATATAGCTCGAAGAACCGACAACCGTTGATGTAAGAAAGGTTCTCGAGTGGTAGCCTCGTACCGGTAGACGAAGTGTAGGGTGGCCGCCCACTAGATGGAGTGACGACCTAGTAAGAAATGCAGGAAGTCAATGGATGCAGGTGGCTCAGGACCGTGCTTTGTGACATACCTTGGGGGAGGCCTATGTTCAGCGGTGGACTTGTGAAGTGCTGTAATGATGATGATGGGCATCGTTCTGGAAATTACAACAAATCTTCTCATCAGGTATTCCTCAAAACCTGAAAACTAAGTTGTAAAACCAGTGCGTGTTGCCAGTGATGACCTACGGAACCGAGACTTGGTCACTGCTGGCCGTATGAGAACGCAATGTCACTCAGTGAGCTATGGAGATGGCTACGCTCGGGGTTTCTCTGCGTTGTAGCGCACCACCTGCAACAATACTAAATACACAATAATATACATAATAACATACACAATAAAATACATAAAAGTACACAATTAAATAACACATTAATAAACACACAAACAAATTTCAATTCACACAAATACACTCTTCACACATTATATATTACATTTTTATTATTTATTAATATTACATAAAGTTTACTTACCTATCTCTTCGCGAGAAGTATCCCGCGGCGCCGGAGCATAGCAACAGGCGAGCCGCTCTTTAGTAACGCGTCAACTTCCCTACGTTGAACCTGTGTCGCTCGCTGCTAATTACTGACTACGTAATATTACGTGCCGAACTTAAAGTGTTGATTATCAGTCGCAAATTTGTAAGGAATTGTGTGTCCGTAATAAATAAATTCATAAAGTGATTACGAACATTTTATTTATGTGTGAAGGGACCTTAATTACATATAGGTGTATATAAGATAGCGGACCATCATCTATTTATTTATTTTATTTTTTTTAATATTCTTTTTGCACACCATATATAAAAAAATTACTAATTGTATATACAAAGGTATGATGGGCGGCTTTTGCTGGCGGATACTGGTGACCCCGACTACGCAAAGAAGATCTAAAGGTACCAATTACTTTTACGAAAACTTATTTATTACCTTAAAAAGATGTCAGGGCACGAGATACTAATCTAACCAAGGAAACAATCCAGACGAAAAATGACGAAACTGAATATTTGCAGCCAGCTATGGAATTATTTCGTGTCGGTGTTAAGGTGCCACCATTTTGGCCGGATCGCCCCGCATTGTGGTTTGCCCAACTAGAGGGACAATTCGTATTATCAGGGATAAATTCGGATACCACAAAATTTTATTTTGCATGCACTAATTTAGAACACCAATACGCGGTTGAGGTGGGTGACATAATCGAAAATCCACCCAAAGAAAATAAATACGAAACTCTTAAGAGTGAACTGATCCGCAGACTCTCGGCACCTCGTGAAGAGGAAATAAAACAGTTCCTGAGCAGCGAAGAGATGGGTACCAGAAAACCGTCACAGTTTTTACGCCATCTTCAGCATCTTGCTGGGCGAAATATCCCAGAAGAATTTGTTCGCACGACATGGTATAACAGGCTACCACCAAACATACAGCCGATTATCGCGTCCGACACTCCGATATGCCTATGGACAAATTGGCTGAACTAGCAGATAAGATTCTAGCAGTAGCAGCACCAACACCTCAAATCTCAGAGGTAGCACCTTCTACATCATGCTCTATTAATCAAACTTGGATAGCAATGGAAGCCATGGCAAAACAAATATCTGAGCTCACTAAACAAGTGGCAGCATTGAGTGCCAGACAATCTCGTCCACGGGGGAGACGTTTTTATAGAAGAAAGTCACGATCTCGTTCCAAATCTCAAAACACGGAATATGTCATATCTCGTTCCAAATCTCAATACGGAAGCAATGCACATAAATGCACAATGACATGTAGTTTCCAGCAGGGAAATGGCAACGGCAGTCACTAGTGGCGGAAAAGGACTGCCTTGATGAGTGCAACGGCCGCCTCTTTATCGTAGAACGGAAAACGAAGATGGAATTTCTCGTCGATACCGGTTCTGACCTCTGCGTTTTTCCGAAGACTGCGACCGCAGGATACCGCACCAAGACAAAATTCGAGTTATTCGCGGCAAACAACATACATTCATCTTCATCTAGATTTCGGCCTGCGAAGGGATTTGAACTGGAGGTTTGTCGTGGCTGATGTGACGAAACCCATACTTGGTGTAGATTTCTTAAGCCACTACAACTTACTCGTAGACTGTCGTCACCATCGCCTAATAGATGGACTTACAAGCCTTTCCGTATCTATAGCACATCGAAACAGCCTTAAAGAAGAAATCGTCTCTATTAAAGCAGTATCTGGGAACACCCCATACCACACCTTGCTAAAACAATATCCAGAAATAACAAAACCTGCCGGTGCTCCCATTGAACTAAAACACAGTATAAAGCACCATATTCGCACAACTCCCGGACCACCGGTAAATTCACGTCCACGCCGATTAGCTCCAGATCGCCTAAATATTGCAAAGAAGGAATTTGAAGAAATGCTATTTAACGGAACAGCGCGCCGATCGGAAAGCCCATGGTCGTCCCCACTACACCTAGCGCGAAAGAAAGATGATGGGTGGCATCCGTGTAGTGACTATCGAGCTCTTAACGCGAGAACAATTCCTGACCGTTACCCAATCCGGCACATCAACGACTTTGCTTACCAGCTGGCCGGAGCAAAAATATTTTCTAAAGTCGATTTAATTAAGGCTTATAACCAAATTCCAGTAGAGAAGAACGACATACCCAAAACAGCCATCACCACTCCGTTCGGTCTGTATGAGTTCCCCTTCATGAACTTGGGGTTAAGTAACGCAGCTCAAACGTTCCAAAGGTTCATCGATGAGGTTACACAGGGCATGGACTACGTATACGGATATTTGGACGACATTCTGGTATTCTCGAAAACTGAGAAAGAACACTTAAATCACTTACAAAATCTGTTTGATAGATTCAAGAAATACGGCATACTTATTAATACATCTAAGTGCATATTTGGAGTACCGGAAGTTACTTTCCTGGGTTATCACGTATCATCCGAGGGAACACGACCATTGCCCGAAAAGGTGGAAGCTATTCACAAGCTCGACCCACCTAAAACCGCTAAACAACTGCGAAGGTTCCTAGGAATGGTCAATTATTATCGGAGGTTCATCCCTCATGTCGCAGAATTACAATACCCTTTAAATGAGGCCTTGACAGGAAAAAACAAAGAAGCCACGCTTATAAATATGACTGATAAAATGTTTCGTGCTTTTCAACAATGCAAAGAAAGCCTGACTCACGCTACACTTCTGTTATCCAGATGTACAGGCAGAACTAGCGTTGTTTACAGATGCTTCAAATGAAGCGATCGGAGCCGTACTGCAGCTAAAAAGGCAAGATAACATATGGCAGCCTTTGGGATTTTTCTCACGCAAGTTGTCACTACCCCAAAAGAAGTATAGCCCTTATGATAGGGAACTCCTAGCTATTTACGAAGCGATAAAACATTTTAAATATATGCTTGAAGCTAGGAACTTTGCCATTTACACAGACCATAAACCAATTTCATACGCTTTCAAAACAGGAAGGAATAATTGTTCACCACGGCAATACAGATATTTAGATTATATATCACAATTCACCACAGATATCGGACATATTGCGGGAAAAGAGAATGTTGTCGCCGACGCGCTTTCAAGAATAGACGAAATCACTGAAGCAATAAATTATGAAGCCCTTGCACGAGATCAGGAGATCGACCTTGAACTGCAAGGTTTACTGAAAAACGG